GCCAGCACCTCAGCAATCCGGCTGATGTCAAAAATGGTGTGCTGGAGGCCCAGCCCAGAGTCCTCACTGCACTGCAGTTCACCAGGGCTTATCTTCTTCACTAGGAGGAGCCTCCTTTCAGCAATGACCTTGAGGAATTGGTAAAATTCTTCAAAATTAATTCCAGAGCAGGACTTCATGATGACCTGGAGCAGAAAGGAGAGGCCAGTGAGCTACTGCTCACCTGCAACTTCAGGCAAGTTTCTGCTGACTGTGGACAGAGTCCCAGCTGCAAAGGATCCCAAGCCATGGACCAGTCTTTGAGGTTGGAGACAGATACCTGGGGGCCAGCCAGTGATGGATTGGTCTGAGCCCTGGTTATCTGCCTCAGCCCCAGATTGACCCTCTTACCAGCAGACCAGGTAGCCACCCCTTCCCCTACTGCAGCCCTGTCTCTGGTGAGCTCCCGCCAACCTCCAACGCCTTGGCCTCTCCCTGTCCCCAGTCTTGTCCAGGCCAAACACCCCACCTGGCAGTGGTGGTGCCAGTCTGGCATGGTGTCCCTCCACTCGCTGACCTCTTGCTGCACGGCACACAGCTCCTGCTGCAGGAAATGCCACATGTTGGCCAGGTTACAGCCATTGACCCAGTTATGGTTGATGGAGATAGTGTCCTCCTGGAAGAGGCAGATTGCATGCTGTCCCCACAAGCCCACAGGGGCACTGTCCCCTCCCCCATCCTGAGGTCCTCCCAGCCCTCCTCAGCTGAGAAAGGCTCTCCCTCCTATCTCCCAGTGGGTGTCAGCAGGCAAGAGGGAACCGAGTCTGGGACCATGTGAGTCCATAGCTAGTCCAGGGTGGGGCTCCCCAGGGGCTGGACAACCCTACTGTGTGAGGACTAGGAAAGTAATGTGGGAGGGATGGAACCCTTAGCAGTGCTGTGTGGGGTCAACAAGCCTACACATGGGCCCAGCCTCACTATGGCCTGCCTTATCACCCAGAGGGACAACCTGCCAACTGTGGAGTCAGTAGGGACGGCACAGCCCTCTCTCCTCAGGAAGCATCAAGAAAAGTCCAAGAGCAGGCTGAGGGGCCCAGTCGAAAGGGGGTCAAGGCCAGCCTGGTAAAACCCCACGGCATCTCTCCCTGCCTGCCCGGACTACCTCTTGGGCACGTGAAGCAGGGTGTACCCACCCTACCAGATTGTGGACTTGGTGGTGCCACCCGCTGGGCACAAACACCATCTCGCCTGCCTCCTGCGTGACCTCTAGCACAGGATGCAGGTGGCTATCCAGGAATTCAGGGGCGGTCACATCGTAGGGTAGGCCACCGTGGCAATCCCGCAGGGCTTCTTCTTGCCCTGGTGGGAAGAAGAACCACTTTTTCCTCCCGCAGATGTTGACAGACCAGCTGAAGGAGCGGAAAATGTCGGCATGGAACGGCGACCTGCGAAGAGTCCCTGTTGATGTCTCATGGCCTGGGCGTGGGCTTTGGTTCTTCCAAATAGACTGGCCACACTCAGAGGCTCAAGGTCCCCAGCTCTCACACCTATCTGTGAGCCACAGGGGTGAGCCAGACCTTCCCCACTTCAGAATATCCCGCAGGAGGGACACAGGTTCTGAGCAGAGCCACGAAAGGAAATGGGCTTGGAAATGCCAGACCTGGCAGCTGACTCCCTGGCCTGGCCAAGAGTAATCTCACAGAGGCTCTGAGAGAGTGCCAACATGGTTCAGGAGAGTGATCAGGGACAAGGTGCAGGGCAGTGGGTGGGAGTGGATACACGGTTACCAAGTGCCAGCGGGCCCCATGTAGATGAAACGGTAGTCGTCCACGTCCAGGGTGTCCCAGTACTCGTTGAGCCAGTCGGACGAGAAGTACACGGGCAAGGTGAATAAGCCCTCAGCAGAGGAGTACCTTCAGAGAGCAAGTGGCATGAGGATGCTGCCATCTCCATGCTCCCAAACCCAATGGTCACTGATATGAGGGCCCCTGAGCTGCCTTCCAGGGCCAGCACCAACTGCCAGGCTGAGTGGGGCCACCTCATACGACCCAGCCCTGGTCCGTCCATCAGATGACCCTAGCTGAGCTCACCCAAATATCTGAACCAGGGTGATAAGTAGATGAGACGGCCGAGGGGTGCTGTGACAGGGTTAGACCACCCATGGAGGTAGCAACCCATGTGCTCTGGGCCCTCCAACACATGGTCCAGGATTTCAGACTGTTGGATTTTAGAGTTGGGTTCTAAATGCATCATTGGAATTACAGTTTTCTGAACTTGTGGGTCGCTTTGGTGTTTTTACCCACACCAGTGACCTTGACTCTGCTGAGCAGACACAAGGCCACAGGCCCTGGCACAAGGACTGCCATGAACACCAAGGTCCTTTTCACCCTCAGCCTCTCAAATCCTTACTCCACTGGTGGATCCCACAACCCAACCATAGGCTCTCAAACACAGGAGCGTGTTAAACCTGTCCAAGGGAGAATGCTAGGCAGGCTCACACATCATGCTTGGTCAGAGGCCAGGAGGAGAACCCAGTACCACCAAACCACTTGGAGTTCCCCCAACACCATGCCTTGTGCACTCAGGCTCCTGCCCATTCACAAACCCTGTTCAGACAGTGCCTCCCATGTCTGCCCAGCTCAGGCCTGCTCTGCTCTCTTCATTTTACTGTTGCCAGAACACTCAGTCAAAACCTAATTTTAGCCCTAACCGGTTTGGCTCAGTGGATAGAGCGTCAGCCTGCGGACTCAAGGGTCCCAGGTTCGATTCCGGCCAAGGGCATGTACCTTGGTTGCGGACACATCCCCAGTAGGGAGTGTGCAGGAGGCAGCTGATAGATGTTTCTCTCTCATCGATATTTCTAACTCTCTCTATCCCTCTCCCTTTCTCTCTGTAAAAAATCAATAAAATATATATATATATAAAAAAAACCTAATTTCAAACAAACAATGAAGTTTTTAGTACAAGTGTGCCCCATGCACACTTGGGATATATTTACACCAAAAAACAATAAACAAAAAAACCCCCACTCATTGCTTATGTGAAGCTCAAATCCACACTGCATAAGCATCAGGGCCTATGAGTGCCTGAGGCCAGGATCAGTGTCTGGTCACACCTTAACCACTGTCTACACAGAAAGTTCCATGCCCAATACAAAGAGCTGTGGCAGGAACACGGAGGACATGCTATGGGTGCTGTGGTTGGGGGCTGGTGCTGGCACGGGCGCTGGCGTGTCTCGCGTACTCTAGCAGTGGTCTTAGAATCATATGAGCCTTAGTTCTAGTCTCATTTTACCTTTTTGAGCCTTAGTTTCAACATCAGCAAAACAAGAATTCAATTTGTGCACTCATTCATCCAACATTAATTAAACACCTTTGTGCCAGCTAAGGGGAGTCTGATTAGGATGGTTTCTGCTGGTGAAAAGCATGCCCCTGGGTGGGGGAGATGGAAACAAAACCAGAAGACCCCTTAGAAAGTGGTCACAACAGTGAAAGTGAGATGTTTTCAGAGCAGCATCGCTTGAGCTCCCAGGTGGAAGTGTGTAGGAGGGAGCAGACAAAGAAAGTCCTCTTTGGAGAGTTGGTGCTGCTCAGCAGTGATGGAGATTTTAAGCAGGTGGGCCACAGTTCTGCTGGAAAGAGCAGTTGGACCTTAGTGAGCCTAGCAGTGGGGTGCAGGGCTCGGCAGGCAGCCAGTCAGGGGACTGGCAGCACAACAGGCTGGACCTAGGGAAAGAAGGCTGGAAAGGGAGGCTGATTCCAGGGGGCATCTGAGCAGAGGAAGGCAGGCTGGGTGAAGACAGTTAGATGGAAGCGCTGAGCAAATGTGACAAAGATGTAATTACCAGAGCCCACATGCACCTCCACCAATCCCGCTTCTCCACAGCAGCCAACTGCGTGCACGGCCACACAGTGCTGCAGAGCTGGATTTTTTTTTATACGGATTAAAATTCCTAACTGGGGAAAAGAGGAGATGCCCAGTATGCAGCCAGGACTCACTCAAGCCTGGAAAAAGCAGTGCCGTGGCCATTGCACCACACCTTTACCTGCACAGGTGCCAGTCTTTGAGGTAGAGACAGCCCCGAGGAGAGGAGTAGTCTCTCTGGATGAACTCTTTCCAGTAGCTGATGTAATCTTTGAGGGGCATGTGTTCTTTAGGGTTCGAGTTGTATTCCTGGACCCCGCAGTTTGCCACCGGTACAACTACATCTCCTGAAAAGGGAGGGTCAGGCACATACTTTTCTGAGTCCTCCAGCTTCTTCATTTTCTCTGATCCTGCCCACCCTCCAACTCACTGCTTATACCGTCTCCGCATGAATTCCTTTGGGAACCCACTCATGTCTTCTCCCCAAACCCTCGGTGGCTACCCTCATTTGCGGCCCTTGTAGTATGACTAAGGGAATCTGGCAGGAGGAGAATAAGAGGACTCTGCTCTAGTCCTGTGCTTGTGTTCGCCCTCAGTCCTACCATAATTCTGAAGCAGATAATCGAAGTCGGGCTTCCCACTGGGTGTCACCCAGTGCTTCCTGCTGCCCCAGTCCTCGGTGAAGGCGCTGGAGAAAACACAGGGCACGTTGGGGAGCAGGTAACTCTTGAAGAAGTCCGTGTAGGAAAAGGAGTCGGGCTTCTCGATAAAGTCCACGCGGTCCGGGGTCGGACAGACCTCGCTGGGGAGACGCCCCCGGAGGCCTCGGAAATGGCTCTCGGCGAACACGCGCGTCTCCCTGTCCATGCCAGGCCAGGCTCGGCATCCATGGGATGCGGGGCTGCTGAGGGCGGAGGGGACGGCTCAGGAGGGAACAAAGGGTTCTATCGGGGGATGGAGAAGTTTCGGGCGGGGAGGATCGGGAGGGGAGGAGAGGGTCTACCGAGAGCTGAGGGGCTGGGGAGAGG